TCTTTAAGTTATGCCATCCCCTGGTCTGCAGATGGGCTTTACTGGTCCTATTCTGTGTTGGTTCACCATTTGTGGCACTTGTGCCGCTTCCTTCAGTGAACTTAAGTCTTGGGTTCCCATGCTGCACTCCTGCTGTGAACTTCATATCATGGTGTCACCATTGTCTGCTCAGCCTTTCTTGGTGTACATGTTTCTTGTGATGCTCTGGGTTGGAGATACACCAACTGTGCAAACTGTGTGGATCATAGTACTGTCAGTGGTGCCCTAGTCCCTGGTGGTGTTCTGCTCTGTACTTCATCTCCGTAGTACATTGGATTTTTTATTCTTCTTGCCAGAATCTGCCAGCAGCTAGGTCGGTGATAACCTGGACCTGTTTTGGACAGATTCTGCAAGATGCCAAGTTGATATTATTTTCCTGGTAATACCAGAATAATGTGTTTGTGGTATAAGCTTGCACAGAGGACACTTGGAGAGCCAGATATAGTTTCTCTCCAGAGGTTAGCACATGTGCAGCTTGCCCTGAACAGCACCCCCGCTCCTATGCATATCTGCAAAGCCTCCAATGTGAAGTTTCTCCTAGTGATTGGATTTAAAAAATCAGCAGGACCCACAGATGTATGGATTGATTCACCTCCTACATCTCCAGAAGTCTCCCCTTCCCACCTGTCTATTGATGGACCTCCAATCGTCATTGGGAGTGGACTGGGCATGCGGAGCGAAACCTCTGCTTCATCAGCCAATTTTGGCTGATGAGTGGAGGGCTCAGCGCGCCACTCCCCACCCCCACCCCCCGGCTGCTTTTTAAGCAGCTGGTACCATCCAATCACCACTGGGGTATCTATTCACTGAAGCACCTCTTTACTATCTCTACTGCTTTGCATATTCATGGATCCCCAGGTGTCTTTCTTGCACACTCTTATTACCTGGGATTTTTCTCTCTTTGCGTCTCTTGTAATTATCCTTCTCCATGCTTTTTAATGTGTCCTCAACCTATTCCAGCACCTTAATTCTCCTCCTCTTAGTAGTCTTTTTATTCATGAATACAGTTAAATTACTTGGGAAAAACATGATTTAAAAAAAAATTAAAGAAGTACATCCTTATTAAACATCATCATCTACTTTTATTTGATGGGCAAAGAGAGACAGAGAGAGATCTTTTATTTTCTGGTTCACTCCTTGAATGCTTGCAGAAGTTGATGCTGGGTGAGGATACAGCCAGGATACAGCTACTCTGTTTTGATCTGGTCTCTGTGGGTGGCAGGGATCCAAGTCCTTGAGCCATAATCTTGGGTCTCATAGGATGCATTTGAAAGGGAAGCTGGATCAGTAGCAGAGGTCGATCTCAAATCCAGGGATTCTGTTGTGGAATGTGTTCAGTCCTATGTGTTGATTGAATCTCCTGTACCACACAGTGCCTGCCCCACAGAATGACATTTTGAGGACCTAGTTTCATAACTTTTTGTGTGGGAGCATGGCAGCAGTTTAGTACTAAATTTGCTCACATAATGAGGAAAGACATTTCTTAATATTTTTCCTGATCTTCTGTGAATAACAATGTTTCTATTCTAGCTGGAGGGAACTTGTAGTTCTCCTGGGTCTCTGGAAATAGTTCCTTCAGCTCTCTTGGGGGTCATTTCTCTTTTTTGCATAGGGTAGTTTCCTAGATACATAATTAGTAATCAGTTGGATATTTGTGTTAGGTTTAGAGACAATTGAGAGAAAGAGGCTTTTAGTTCAGGCAGAGTTTTGTAATTCAAAGGAGAGAGTGTGTTGAACCACTCTGGTGGGAGACCGCCTGGGACCACTTCCACATGGTGGGGTGACTGCGTGAGGAAATGTAAAGGTGTATAAAGGCCCAGTGTGGGCCTTAGGCATGGGGATGGGGGAAGGCAGCAGCTCCTCATTTGGGCATGCATGTAACGTGTAGAATGGGTACTCATGAGGGTGTTGATCTTCTGCACAGAGACAATGTTAGGATGAGTTGGCATTCTAAAACATTTCTGGATGAGAGTGTCCACTTCCGCAGGGTGGTGGATTCACTTCTACTCTAGCCAACCTAATGATTTGTAGGTGTTTTACATTCTTTCTGTGTGTATTGTCTTTTGCTTTGCTACTCTGTCCTGGACCTCCATCTGTACTTTTCTTTCTGATTTCTAGCTCTGTCTACTAAATTCATGATTCCTTCAGGGTTCTGTTTTGATTCTGTCCTCTTGGATATGGCCTGATAACTCCATATAGTCTTCAGAATCAGTCATATCCCTTTGAGCTTGTTAGTCACTGCTTTTTCAAAAGCATAATTTTAACTATTTTATCCAATTTTATTTATTTATTTATTTTTTAAATATTTTCATTACAAAGTCAGATATACAGAGAGGAGGAGAGACAGAGAGGAAGATCTTCCATCCGATGATTGATTCACTCCCCAAGTGAGCGCAACGGCCAGTGCTATGCCGATCCGAAGCCGGGAACCAGGAACCTCTTCCAGGTCTCCCACGCGGGTGCAGGGTCCCAAAGCATTGGGCCGTCCTCGACTGCTTTCCCAGGCCACAAGCAGGGAGCTGGATGGGAAGTGGAGCTGACGGAATTAGAACCGGCGCCCATATGGGATCCCGGCGCGTTCAGGGCGAGGACTTTTAGCTGCTAGGCCGGGCCCCTATTTTATCCAATTTTAAATCATTTTTTTGTATTGAGAATATAAATCTGGTTATAGTTATTCTCTCTTATTCTGTCTTAGCTAGGAGCAGAGACTTTAATATTTTAAGTAATTGTATTTTTCTTTATTCAATTTCCATTTTTCCCCATTGGCTCACCCCCATTCTAACACTGAAAAAAATTAAAGCCTATATTTTTTAGGTACTTTGAGGTTTTACTTTTATTTATATTTAGCTTTTAGTCTATTTTTATATTTGATAAGAGGTAAGCAAATCTAATCAGCTTCCTCCCTTTTTCCCTTTCTTCATTTCCCCCTGTTTTCTCTTCCATCCCTCTTTCTTTCTTACAAATTGTCAGACAGTTGTTTCTATACTATTTGTTTTCTAAGCCACAATTTCTCCCAGGATTTCTTTTTAAGGTTCATTTTATGTATTTCAAAGGCACGGCACATACAGAGAGTGTACATGTACATGAGATCCTCCATCCACTGGTTTTCTCCCCAAATGATCACAGAGAAGACTAGGCCAGACCTAAGCCAGGATCCAGAAGTTTCCTTTTGGCCTTGCACTTGAGTGCATAGGTCTGAACACTAGGGCCACACTCCACTGCCCTTCCAATGCATTAACAGGAAGTTGGATCAAAAGGTTCAGCCTCTGCCTGAAGTGCTGGCATCACTGTGGGCGTTGGTTTGAGTCTTGGCTGCTTAGTTCCAGTCCAGCTTCCTGTTATTGGCTGGGAAAGCAGCAGATGTTGACCCAGGTGCTTGGGCCCCTGCACCCATTTGAAAGGCTCAGAAGAAGCTCCTGACTCCTCGTTTCGGACCAGCTCAGCTCTGACCCTTTTGGCTATTTGGAGAGTGACCTGGAAGATGTAAGCTCTCTCTTTCTTCTTCCTGTAGTCTCTATTCTCTCTTTCATTCCCTGGTGTAACTGCTCTTGCCTTTTAAATAAAAATAAACAAATCTTTGGTGGGGGGCAAGATATGGAGTGATTGGCAGGCTAATCCTTCAAATGCTGATGCTGACATCCCATGTAAGTCCTGGTTTGATTCTAAACTTTGGATCCATCTCCCTGCCTATGGCCTGGGAAAGCAGTGGTGAGTGGTTCAAGTCCTTGGGCCATTGCACGCATGTCAGAGACATGGAAGAAGGTCCTGGTTCTTTGGATTGGCTCAGCTCTGGCCATTGCAGTCATTTTGGGAATGAATCCGCAGATGGAAGATATCTGTCTCTCCCATCAAATCTGCTTTTGAAATAGAAAATAGCATTCTCATAGTGAAGAGCATTTAATTTGACAACTTTTCCATGAGGAATATAATTCTTCCCAACTAACTTTGAAATTGTTGTCACGTTTCTATAGAAGCTACAAGAGCTTTTTTTCAATTTTTATAGTTCATTGTGTTTAATTATTAAACATTCATTATGAATTTGACAATTGAATGTGCTAGTAATACTTACTTTTCCTGTCCAAGAACATTCCAGGGAATTAAGTGTTTTATTAGACATTTGGAATTTTAAAATGTAGTTTGTATATGTGTATATAATGGTTCTTTCTACATATTATATACTTTACATTTTTCCAATATGTTGTATAATTCATTATAGTTGATATATAGGGAAGCTTTGGGTTTTCACTGATAGATTTTTTTTTTATAAGAATGGGTTATATTCTCTTGAGAGATTGTGCTGTATAAACTTTGAAAGTTTGATTCTTTCTCACTAATGTTTACATTGTTCTTTCATTACTGTGTTTTACAGAAGTTGCTCAATAGCATGTTAAATAATAGCATCCTAGTGCATTTCATTTTATATATTTTATCCTTGTGCAAACCTGCCAGCTAAAAAGAGTAGGTACTGACTCCTTTGTAAGCACAAAAACTAGATGCAACGAATTTCCCACACAGCTCCTCTTGCTTCAGAATGGAAGGTTTGGGGCTTATGATCAACAATTCAATAGGGCAAAAAGAATTATGATTGAAGCTGTAAGGCATTTAGAAAAGTGAATTATTACTTGATTTAATTATAGTTTTAATAATTAGTTTAGAATAATAATATCTTGTCTTTGACTGTATGTCTGTAGATATTGCTGTTACAATCCCGATAACCTCTACATGGTCCTTTATTGAGTCTTGCGCATGGAATTTCATCAGATAAATCCATTTTGATGTTTCCTGTGGAGTAAGAGTTGTAGTGAGCTTAATGCTTTTGTCAACTTTAAGTTTTATGTTAGTAGTTCAAAATGTAGGCATGGATAAATTGCTTTCTGGTTAAAAAAGATACATTTATATTTCTTATATATCTAAAGATTATTTCATTTTTTTTACATATTAAGTCATGTTTAATTTTTTAGTGTCTCAGCAGATGATGTTAATTCACCGTTATCACCCCTTACATGGCAGGTAAGAAGACATTAAAATACTATTACATCTATTATTTTGTTCTCATTTATTTACTTAAAAGCAATTGTCTCATTATAGCCCTTAGAAAATCAAAAGGATCAAATAGATGAACAGCAGTGGCCAGAGTCTCAGCCTATAGTCTGGCAAAGTGAAGAAAGGAGACGGAGCAAACAGATTAGAAAAGAATACTTTAAGGTACTTTATTAAAATGTATTGTGTAATTGATTTGATTGTATTAGCTTTGAGTTAACATAACTCTAGTTAACTGTGTTGTTTTATATTGATTTCCCACATGGATTTGCAGTTCATTTAGATACACAGTTCAACTGTACTTATAAAATTTCAGCAAATCAGAACAATTGAGAATAAACCAAAATAAATTATAATTCACCAAATTCATTACAAGATAGATAAATTGTTGTTGCACTGCTAGTTATAGGATTATGTAACATTGGTTACCTTTTGATTACTAAAACGAAATACCTGAGATAAATTATTTAATGTAGAAAGAGGTTTATTTCACTATGGTTCTGGGTGTTCATAGCCCTAGATCTGGCAGTCCCACTGAGGTGTCCTCTAATGAGAATGTTGGAAAGCAGTGAAGAAGCAAATGTGGAAAACGGTTCCCTTTCCTGAAACCTTTAACAAAGGCACAGAATAAAATTTTTTTACAGATTAAACCTGATAAATGATGATGTAGCAGAAATTTAGTAGCTTTTAGTAAAACAACAACAATAAAAAAACAAAAAAACACTTGGATATAGCTTTTATCTTCTTAATATAGCCATACTATTTCTTACTTCCTTAATTAGAATTTTCTAAAATATTTTATCCTCTCTACATTTATAGCATAATTCAGCAGTCACAGAGTTATTTTCTTCCAGTGCCACAAACTGTACTATAAAGGAAAGCTGGTACTACTGCTTATCAAAATATACAAGACAATTAATGTTTTTAATAAAACCAATTTTTATATTAATCTGTTCCCCAAATCATTCTCTCTCTTTTTAAAAAGATTCATTTTATTTTTATTTGGAAAGTAGAGCTACAGACAGAGAGAGAGAAATCTGCCATCTATTTGTTCACTCCCCAAATCATCACAATGGCTGGAGCTGAGTCAATCTTAAGCCAGGAACTGGTAGCCTCTTTCATGTCTCCCATGTATGTATAGGGGCCCAAGGACTTGACCCATCATCCACTGCTTTCCCAGGCCATAAGTAGGAAGCTGGATCCGAAGTGGAACAGCCAGAATATAATCCAGAGCCTCTATGGGATCCAGGCATCACAGGTGGAGGCTTAGCCTACTGCACCTCTCCATGAGCCCCCACTTTTGTCTTTATTTATCCAGACTAAAAAATAAGAAAACATTGTTATAAATATGGTATTTTCTTCTGTTAGCATTCTTATAAACCAAAAAAAGAACTTTAATGAGCAGAACACATAAAACATGACACAGTGTCAGAGGCTCCCAGATGTGCTATTTCTCTTCTTAAATATGAGTCTCATTTTTAAAAAATTTTTAATATAAAGAGAACAGATTTCATGTATTTCATGAAATCTAAGAAGATAATCATGTTTCCCTCCCTGCTATTTCCACTTCTTCAACCCCGCTCTATCCTTCCTTCATTTTTCTTTTTTTTTTATTTTCGCAGAAATACAATTTTAGTTTATAATCACTGGTTTAATGCACCACTCACGGTTACATTTATGAACTAAAAAGTAAAAAAAAAATCACAGTCCAGAAAAATATAAACAAGAGCTAAAAAAAAATCAAATTACTTATTTTTAAACTTTTTCCATTTTTTAATTATATTTTGTGTGACAACCAGGCCCCTATCTTGAATTATCTATGGGTTAGTAAGGCTGGGGTCTTGGTTTATGGGGATTGGGGTCATTGGCATTAGTTGGACATTGGACTTATAAGTTCACATAGTTTGTCAACTGAGCAAATAAAGCAGGAGTTATAATGGCAGAAAGAATTGCAGTTAGCAATGAGCCGTGTTTACTCTATTTTGGTTTCAACTCTACAATGGACAAGTGAGTGCTTCCAAAGATAATTCTGCAAGTTGGTTTCACCTTAAGACAGGGCATTATCCATTCTGACGTTGCAGCTGGGAATTCCTCAGTGGACAACACATATTAATCAGTATACACTCCTACTGCAATTCTTATTTTACAACTTATCCATCACTTATTGGGAGAAATACATCAGAAGAGAAAAAGCATAAAGATTTAAGACAAAAAGTTTCAAACATTAAATCCCCCTATAACTGCAGGCTTTACAACCTCATAAACAATCAGGCAATAATCAAAAGTATATCTTTATGATGTTAGTAAAATTGTCCTGTATTTCCTCTAGTTAAAAAATTATGAAGCAGCTAAAACAGCTACATTTTCTATGTTCTAAAGAGTTGCAAGGACAGGCTAACCTTTAAGGTCACAGTAACTATATATTTTTTGCCATAGCAGGATGGCTTTTAGGGTCACAGTAGCTATACTTTTGTCATAGCAGGATGGCCTTTAGAGTCACAGAAACAGGATAGCCTTTAGGGTCCCAGTAGCTATATTTTTTGTCATAGCAGTTTCACCCCATACTCTCATCACTTCCATTAGTTTGTAAAATTCTTATCAAGCCATTTCCAAGAAGGCATGCTATGTGTCTGGACCAGATTTCAGGGCAATGGGTAGGCACACAATAAGGTGTCCAGAAACGGCATTGGTTTAATTGTACTCCTGAGCGCAGTTAAAGGCCCACTCACCAAGACATTATCAATAACGTTAACTCTCAAGGTCATGTTGGTTGCAAAAGCCATCACATAGGGGCAAACAATGCCTCAATAAATTACGAAATTCTTAGTGGGGTGCTTGAGTGTCCATACACATGGGGGTGAAACTGTGTCAAGGTGGTCAGAGAGAAATCCACTGGGCCCTGCCAAACAGCTGGAAGCTCCCCCGGGCCCTGCCAAGCAGGGAGCTGTTCTCTTCACACCTTTGTGCCATCCACACCTACTGCACGGACCCCAGCAATTTTTGACAACCTTACATAGTTAATTAGGGTAAAAAGGTTCAAGGGCTACAGGAAAATTCAACAGTTATGAATTGCTGCCAATCTAGCCACTCCAAGCATGATGAGGTTGTTGAAGAATCCACTGATTGACCTAGTCCATGTTAGAGTCTTCGTTTGCCCAGTTTTTCAGTGCCAACATATGGCTGAGGTGGTTGATTGACTTGTTCTGTCCTCTGTCTTTTTATGGTTAGGGTTCTGAGTCTGGCAGTTTTATTGAGGAGACTGCCAAAGAAACTTTGAGGTGATCTCTGACCAGATTCTTGTATGTATTGGCAAGTACAGGGCCCAGCACAGTCCATTGCCCCAATCAGCTGGTGGTTGCAGTTGCTGGGTCGGTTCTGTTTCCAGCTCAGTCTTCCACTGGAACCAATGGGTGTTGCAGTCCTGCCTGGTTCTGCCCACCAGTGGGAGCTGCAGCCTAGTTGGAGCAACCCACAATAACCTGCACCAGGCCCGCCCCCTACCCTGGTTTGCCAGGATGTGCTGCAGAGTTGTCCAGTCTGTCCCACATCCCATTCAGCTCTCGTACATGTCAATGGGCATTGAAGCCTAGTGGAGCTAGTTAGATAATGGAACTGGTTAGATGAAACTAGGCTTTAATAATCAAATTTCAAGATGTGGATTTCACTCCTATACATTATTATATCTATATTCACTGCCGTATAATAGAAAAGTCGTGATACATATCTTTTTGAGATTGGCTTATTGAACCAGTTACATCCATTTTATTGCAAATGACAAGATTTCATTTTTTTTATCTCTAAGTAGTATTCAATAGTGTATATATACACCACACTTTAAAAAATTATTTAATTTTATTGGAAAGGCAGATATACAGAGAGTAGGAGAGACAGAGCAAGATTTTCCATGCATTGCGTCACTCCCCAAGTGGTGTCAGTGGCTGGAGCTGAGCTGATCCAAAGCCAGGAGCCATGAGGTTCTATCTGGCTCTCAGGCAGGTGCAGGGTCACAAAGGACCAGAAGTAGAGCTGCCGCAACATGAAACAGCACCCTAATGTGATGCCAATGCTTGTAGGTGCAGGATTAGGCAGTTAGGCCACTGTGCCAGTCCCGCATTTTCTTTACCCAGTTGTCAGTTTATGGATATCTGGATTGATTCCATATATTTGCTATTATGAATTGAACTGCAATAAACATGAAGTCACAAGTTATTGATATGCTAATTTCATTTTGTTTGGATAAAGGTTTTTTGTTTTGGGTATTGGATTTCAGATTTCTGAATAATCTCCATACTGTCTTCCATAATGTTTGTAGTAATTTATCTTCTCACCAGCTCTTATATAGTTGTAAAAAATATCAGACATTATTTTAAATGCTTTACAAATGTCAATTTTTTTAACCTCTGTTACAACTCTGTGAGGTAAGCTCAGTTATTATCATGTATATTTTACAGATGGAAAAATTAAGGCAAGGAGAAGCTAAGTATTATGGTTTAATAGACATAGGTAAGATTACTATGGTAATCTAGTATCAAATGAACAAGCACCCTTTTTTAAAAAAAATTATTTTCTTTTTATTGGAAAGTGAGATTAACATGAGGCGGAGAGAAAGAAAGATCTTCCACCGGTTGATTCGCTCTCCAAGCAGCTGTAATGGCTGGAACTGTGCTAACCCTAAGCCAGGAGCCCACAGTCTCATCCATGTGTCCCACATGTGTTCAGGGTCCCAAGGCCTTGGGCCATCCTTGACTGCTTTCCCAGGCCACAAGCAGGGAGCTGGATGGGGAAATGCAGTAGCTGGAACATGAACCTGTGTCCATATGGGATCCTGGCACATGCAAGGCAATGACTTTAGCTGCTAGGCTACCATGCCTGGGTCTGAACAAACAGTCTTTAAAGAAATGCAGTTTTACGGGCCTGGCACTGTGGCCAAAAAGACTAATCCTTCACCTGCAAGCTTCGGTATCCCATATGGGTGCCAGTTCTAGTCTGGACCACTCCACTTTAGATCCAGCTCCCTACTTGTAGCCTGTGAAAGCATAGGCGCATGGCCCAAGTCCTTGGGCCCCTGCACTGATATGGGAGACCTGGAAGAAGCTTCTTGCTCCTGTCTTTAGATAAGCTTAGCTCTGTCTAGTGCTTCCATTTAGGGAATGAACCAGACATTGGGAGATTTCTCCTCTCTCCTTTTTCTGCAAAACAACCTTTCACACATAAAGTAATTAATCTTTATATAAAAATGGAGTTTTATTTTAAATGTTTTTTAAGAATTTTAGTAAATCCCTTTTAATAGATTTACTTATATAAACAGAACAAATTACAAATGTTGTTTTGAGAACATAATGATAATTTCCACCATATCTGCCTTCCTTTCTTATTTTTCTTTTAATTTTACTGATAACATAGTTTCCATTTATCTTATGGTCTCAAGCTTAATACTTCTCTGATAAAGAATTTGTCAAGTAGAAAGTAAAGTTCCTCTGGAGTATAGACAAGGGGTATAACCAATAATAAAGTAGCAAGATATCAGTTTAATTCATGCACATTGCATTTTTATATTCTATATATTAGCTATCTCCAGTGAATTTTTCAATAAAGCCTTAATGGAAGCTTTATGAGCCTGTTAAAATGGATGTTTGTATGGTTTAATAGTATCATTCATTAATGAGCTTTATTTTTTATGACAAACATAATTTTTATATTACTGATTAGTTACCCAGTTGCCTAGAGATCAAATTAGAAGTTATTTAAAGTGTTAATTATGTAATTCCTACTTATGAAATGTTGATTTCTTACTTGATAAAGTAGATGAGCAAGCAGATGAACAGTCGCTGGGAAATGTTTTAGAGATGTGTAGTTCTCCACATTTGTCAGAAGATGTCAGTATTAAGACAGTAAAAAAATTTTGATGCAACAGCATTTTCCCAAATGTCAAGAAAATGTAAAATTAGATACTGTTCTTTAAATTAAACTTAGTATTCAAATCTGCCCATTTTTCCTAACCAAAACATCTTTGCTTTATATGGTGTGTCTAAGACAAAAAGGATTTATTTTGTTTGTTTGTTTAATCCCTTACCTCTCTGTAATCATAGGGTTATGTATAGCCTTGCAATAGAATTTTATCTGGAGATACAGTTGATTAAACAGTAAGATATAGTCCTGTGGAAGTTTATGTCGAAGTTTACTGAGCTTGTTCAATATTGACTCTGATAGTATTGCTGTGTCATGAAGCTCACAGAGTTTTTGAAACATTTTATCCTAACACATTTCTGGTCTATGGTAAATCATTTATGAAGCTTTCTTGTAGTAAGTGCATTTATTGACTGTGTGTGTCTGTTATGTACATATGCATACAAACACCTGAACATATGGGATCCAGTTTTCGGTTATTTGTTTGTAGTTGACAAAGGTAGTATATTTCTTAGGTAAGACCTTGAAATTAAATGAAAACTATTTCAACTTAGTGGACAGATTATGAGAACAAGAAGATAAATTGGGTTAGGTTGTATGTTTAAGTAAATCCAGGGTTAATAGAATAAACATTGTTTTCTTTAGATTGCTAGGCCATTGTTAAGTAGATTACTAGTCTAACATAAAATTTAGTGTCCTTGAGCCAAACTAAAATACTGTAATTCATAAAGGAAATATTACAGGAAATACATTACTAAACATCTTTTATAGAAACTCATTGTCTTAGTAAGGTATACAGCAAATTATAAAAACTGACTTATTGTTGATAATATTTAATATATAGTGGTAGCTTTAATTTATTTTAAGATTAACAACATGAAATTCCACATGCATATGGTGATTCATTTCTAAACAAGTTAAAAATCACTAGATTAACAATTTAATCTTAATATTAATTGATTTATTTAAATTCCATATAATTTCAAACGTTTCCCATTATTAGTGTGATAAAATTCTATAATGGCTTAATAGATAATGAATATCTAAATAGTCTTTTTGTGTTTAAAGGCTAATTCCAATTAGTTTAAAGGCTAATTATAATTTTTATGAATTTTATGCTGGAATAGGGAAGCCAACTTATTTGTTCCAAGTAGGTGTGTTTATGCACAAGTTATTTACACTCCTCTGAAATTAATATTAAGTTCAGAAATGGATTAGCTTTCTTTTTGTCTTGTTTGCAAGCCATTTCCCGTAGTTCACTTCTCAAATGCCTACAATCCTTTCTCTGTGTCTACCTCCCTTCCTTGCCTTTTAAGTAAAGATAGATAAGTAACATTTTTCAAAAGAATAAATTGGGATGTTGTCGTACTGTGTTACCATGAATCTAAGAAATATTTCCTTACGTATTAGCATTCTCTCTATTGAACATGTCGTCTCTCTTGTAAAACATGCATGATATTAGTTAATGCCATAGGGTGGGTATGAGAATTAGATGGACTCTAATTAATACACGTAAGGCACTTTAGACCTGCAACATTATAAACAATAGAGTGTTAGCTTTTATTGTTGTTGCTGTTATTGTACAGTTCATGTATTCACTTAATGTTTTATCTTGAAACATTAAAAGTTTTTTTTAATCAATACATGGCATCTTAGAATAGTGAGATTACCGACCAAGTGCAAGCTAACAGGAGCCTGGCAAAGGCAATAAATTGAAAATTCAGAAAAGGTAAGTCTTAGAGAAATTGCCAAAACATTTCAATTTAATGACATATTGGATATAGTGAATGAAGGGAAAAAAGTCTCTAAATGAGATAACCCACAGATTTTAAACCTGAGTGAATGTGAAATGGGATTGATTTAGGAAGGAAATCTTACTTTACATCTATATATGTATATAGTACTTAGTACCATTCTTTGCCCATAGAAAACATTGTATGTGTTAGTTATTAGTACTATAGTTATTTGAACTGGTTACATAGTTATTAAAAGTACTAAAATATGAATAAAGCTCACCTAGAGATTTATGTGCAAATATATATATATATATTTTAATATTTTTCAGTATAAATCTATGAGGAAAAGTTCCAGTGGCAATGACAATGACGAGGTGAGAAAAGGGTAATTTTAATTATTTGAAATATTTTATTTTCATATTTATTTGGCTCAGAGTTAAATGCAATCCATCTTTTGTTTTCCTTGATAATAGTTAAATGTGTGGGTTTTCTCCAATAATAACCATTTGCTGGCATCGTCCTATAGTTGCTAATTGAATCACATGATTTCCATGTGCCTTCTAGAACAGACTTTCTAATAGTTCAATTTTTAAATTTTATCATCACCTGTGTTAGACCTGTAATCCATCCTCTGTGTACCATTTCTTATCTTTTATCTTCCTAAATCAACATAGTAGTCATTTGACATGTTTAAGGAACTCCTCTGGGGAACTCTTTCCACAAATTATGTGTACTGTTTCAGAATGTACACTAACCCTTGCTATTCATTGCACCAATTCCTCAAGATCTCTTTGTCCCTTATATATTGTTGTTCCCCAGGGTAGAGTGGCTTCAGCACTTTCAAGATTTCAGTGAACAACATCTGGGTGCTTTCTGTTGCCTTTCTGGTTTATATCTCTTGCCCTGACTTCTTCCTTATACTTTAGGCCATGTATCCATTGCCTCACGTTTTAAAAATCTCAGCTGGATTTATCCTACAGATCAACTCGGAATCAATGTATTCAATTCTCATTTCTGATTTTTGTTTTTGAAGCATGCTTTTTTGCTACTGTCTAAACAATATCGTGACTCTCCATTTTACTGAGGCTTAAACCACGTGGCGAGCTTTGTAAGAATACTGAAACCTGGTTTCACCCTCAGATACTCAAATATAATTGGCATATGGCATGAAAAAATATGGCTAGAATAATGAGAATTTTAGTTTCTTGTGTAAACTTAATGTATAGCCAAGGCTGAGAACAACTCGGTGAACTCATCATTCACCATCCAACCAGAGCAAGGTTAGTGACTATAGCCCAGGAGTCACGTCTGGCCCTCAGGCTTTGTTTGTGGTAAAGTTTTATTGGGACACAGCCCCACCCATTGAGTTATAGCTGCTTTTGTAAAAATTGCCAACTTAATATTTTAATTAAATTCTTTGTAATTGCATCCAACCTTATATTAGATGCATATAGTTTTCTAGATTCCTTATTTGGGGTCTTGGAATTTTTTTTATGCTTTCCTTAATATGTCTCAGATTGTAACACATTGATATTATGTGTACATAGTACTTCATGTGCTATATTATGTGTTGGGGCCCCAGCTTCTGTATTTCTAACACATTCCCAGAGGATAGTTAACACTGCTACTTACAGAGCATACTTAGGCTGGCAAGGTGTCAGATGGTATATTCCAGAGTCTTTACAAGTTGATCAAAATTTTCATGTTTCCTTCTATGTGTTTGAATCATCATTTGTATTTTAATTTCATAATTCATCCTTTATTTTTGTATTTTAGCAAGACAGTGATAATGCTTATATGTCACCACAGTCTCCAGTATCATCTGAGGTACAAAACCCGTTTTTATGTTTTATGTGTGCTCTTTCATGTTTTGTGTAATTTCTGTGTTTATGTAGGGTTTTTTCCTTCCTCTCTAACCTCATTGTTTTCTTTTTACAATGTAATTTATTCACTCATTGAAATCTATGATAGAATAGTTTTATAAAGCTTCTCATCTATAAAGGATTCCTAAAGTGACGTGTTTGGTGTAAGTATTTATAATAGTAGCACTTTGTTTATGATTTTCTATGGAAGCATCACTATAACAGAATTTACTTTGTGAAATGTGTACTTTCTAATTCGTCCACATTTGAAAATAAATTATGAATTGTCAGAACAGTATTGACATTTGAAATTTGAAAATAGCTCTTCAGCATTGTGCAATGGCCTTTGGTTTTTCTTGTAACCAATTAGGTCTGAAAGCAATGCAAGAGAAACTTCCTTTTTCCACGAGAAACATCCCTGCAGTGGGTTGTTCCTATCGACAAGAGGTTACAAATATATTGATATCTTTGAATTAATTTGAGGGTATGGGGAGGGTGGATGCATGAAAATTACAGTTTGTATTGTGAGTTCGAATGATTGATTCAATTTGATGAAACCATACTATATTATAACAAGAGGTAAATTTTGAACAACTCTCAACAATGTCTTTCCTGTTTTGGATTATGCTGCTTAGTATCCTAAAGTGTACTGGAATTAATAAGTGACTGTGTGTTTATTTGGTGAATTCACAACTTTGTCTAAGTATTTGAATGATTTCAATTTACAGTGTAACTTAGTTAACATACATAGTATTTTATTACATGTAGATGATGTTATTTTTTTTTCCAGCCAGGATTCTTTCTCTATTGTTTTGCATGGGTTGCATTATAAAGCTTTTAAACGGAATTGAGTAGAGTACTGTGTTGTGAAGCAGCAGCAGAATGAACCACTACTTGTCTTGCCAGTATCCCATATCAGAATGCTGGATTGGAATCCTGCCTGTTCTTCCAATCCAGCTTCCTGTTCATATGCCTAAGACAACAGATGATGGTTCAAGTACTTGGGTTCCTGATACACACTTTGAAGACCCAAATGGACTTTCCTGCTTCTGGCTTCAGGCTGGCCCAACCTCAGCTTTTGTGGCATTCCTAGGAAGTGAACTGCCCAATGGAAGAATTATTCCACTCTGGGTTGCTTCCTCTCAATCTGTGATTCTCTGCCTTTCAAATAAATAAACAATTCTTTAAAAATCTTTGGGCATTTATTTTATAAACATGCTGCCATTTGTATGGCAGTTAAATTGTGACACATTCTTCTGGAAAACAGTTCAAATTAAAGAGTTTTAGCTCATCCTAGTCATTTCAACATGCTTTTGTAAACTTAATTAGTGTATTGTGTATTAACAAAGTGGATATTCCTACATTTGAACCCAAAGGCACTATACATCAGCTTCATTATTTTACAGCTTGAAGGCATGAGTTGCTTCCCTAAGAATTGTCTTCAATAAATGAGAAGTGACCCCAGAGCCTAGACCCTAGCTACACAAAGTTGTTGCACTGATTTAGTAACAAGCTCCTAAGATTGTAGTGTTTCGTCATGTGGCAGTTTTCACATTGCTTTAGTTATCGTTTATTCACAACTCCATTTGAACGACACACAGAGAAATTAAAGGTTGCACAGAGGAGATAGCCTAAACTCTGTGATTAAAAGTTCAGATTTGTTTAATAAGCCACGATTTTTTTCCACAGCACAACACTGTTTGAAAACGGTGTGCAATAAAGTAGAAATAATACTAATTAATCATCTGTAATTCTGCAGCCCTCTTAGTGTGAATATTTATATTGGCCTCAGCTTGTCCACTGTTCAATGTCAAATCCAGAGTGAATACAGATGAATGTTGCTAAATTTGCTCATCTTGTCCCTGAGGTACACTTCATTTCTCTGGATATTTTAGCCTCATTCCTTTTTTTTTTCCAAAGAAAATACATTTTTTTTTATATATTGGTAATGATTTTCTTTTCCGTATTTTTTCACTAAGAGGGAAAAGAATTTAAAGGTATGTACAGTGAGATCATATAGCAAATAATTATTGACCTTTTAAAAATGTGTAAGCTTGAATTGAAATGCAAGTTAGTTCACTAAGTTTTGAAAAAATGATACCTTTTTTCAAAATTGGAGTAGATGTGAATAAGTAACTTGATGATTTTGAAAGAAAATAGGTGTTATTTGCTTTCTGTGTTTAGGAATTTGACAGAACTGACAATTTTCCACATGGCCCCTTTGGCTTGAAACCTAGATCAGGTAAGTATCTATAAATAAAATTTGTTCATTGTATTTGAAACTAGAGTTCCCAAGGTTCAGTGGGGTTGATTCTATAGTTTTAAGTACACGTAGATTCTTTCCCGTCACCCAAAAGTAATTTTCTCTTAACCTTATTTGTCTTCCCAATTCCCATCCCCATTTGTTTCTTCCTCTTTACCTTCAAGCTCCTGAAACCTCAGCTTTTTGCCTTAGATATACTGCAGTCTTATTTCTACTCTACTGTGACTGCTGTTAGAATGACCATTCTGCCATCAGACCAAACACTGTTTGAAATTATAGCACTCCATTATATTGTGCTTTTTTATAAAAGGGATCTTTTCGCATTTGGCAAGCCCAAAAGAAAATGGATCCATGTTACTTGGCAAGGTATTGAATTATAGTTTTTATTCCTGAATAACTGTATTGACCTTCGAGAATAATTTCCTTTTTCCTTAGAGATAAAGGCTGACATTGTGTTCAGTAGTCATTTTTAACCTGGGTCGTGAGTATATCATAATGTGTATTTAACTAAGAACGTGTATAGGTGGTAGAAATCGTTACATTTGTCTTCCCTGTATTTAGAAAGTGTTAGTAAGTAATCATGCTTTCTATAATTTTTATTCTGATACTTTTTTTTTATCATATCTCTTTCCTCACCAATGGTTATTCCCTCCTATTATCTTTGTAAAGTTAGGAAATTTCTATTTCTATAGCTTTTAGCCGCTCACCTCGCCAGGAATATGGGGCAGCTGATCCAGGATTTACAATGAGAAGAAAGATGGAACACTTACGAGAAGAGCGAGAGCAAATAAGGCAACTTCGCAATGTAAGTCAGATTGATCCTTCAGATTTGCTCTGTAGAAATGAATTTATCTTGGAAAAATAATAATCTGTGTGGATTTCATTTTCAACATTCCTTATCATTTTATATTTAAATGATAATTAGTAATGTACATATATAATGCATATGTTTAGATGGACTATTGGTGATTTATACCCATTTCTTCATAGAATCTTGAATCCAGGTTAAAAGTGATTTTGCCTGATGACATTGGAGCTGCACTGATGGATGGGGTTGTTCTTTGCCATTTAGCCAATCATATAAGGCCACGCTCGGTAGCTAGTATTCATGTACCATCACCCGCAGTGGTAAGTTTTACGTACAGTTTGTTAGTTCTCCCAAAGGGAGATATAACTTGTTAAAACTGTCTTTAAATGATATGTTTATTTGTATAAAAATGGCTGAAATTGCATCTTTTTCCCCTTTACAGCCCAAACTGAGTATGGCAAAATGTCGAAGAAATGTAGAAAATTTTCTTGATGCTTGTAAAAAGTTGGGTGTCTCACAGGTAATTGCTATTTATCTAACAAGATGATCACTTAGATATTAGCTTCTTACATGAAAATGAGAGCTCTTCTTCAGAAGAACAATGAATAACATTTTCTGACCATGAAAATGAACCCTTCTTCTTGTTAGTTGTGCTAAGCCTCAGTGTTAAACTATAGCAGCTTGATGACAGTTTTTAAGGTTCTCAAGTCCTTTATAAAACAGAAAGATGGAAATGTTTACTTGTCATTGCATAACTATGTGAGCAGATTTCAACTTGCCTATGTGGCCATTGTTACTATCATTTGGCAGCTTTGTAAATTCATGGACTCACCTTTACACTCAGTGCAAAAATATTCTACACTTGATTTCATATGTGAAATTTGAGGAGCAGGTATTGTGGTACAATGAATTAGGCCACCACCAGGGACCAGGGCTCATAATGGGGTGCCATTTTGAGTCCAAGCTCCTTTGCTTCAGAGCCAACTTCCGGTACTACACTCTGGAAAGCAAAAAGCAACATCCCAGTTATTTCTGTTCGCATCACCCATGTTGGGGATCTGAATGGAGTTTCTGGCTCTTGGCTTCAGCCTGGTATAGGCCCCAGGTTTTTCAGGCATTTGAGTAATGAGCCAGTGGATGGAAGTTCTCTCTTTCTCTGTATCACCTAACTCTCAAAAATCTACATAATTAAAAACTTAAAAAAATTAGGTACAATATTGTACAATTAGGTACAATATTATAGGAGTAATCAGTTTATGTTTCATATAATAATTGCAATAATATTAAATAGTTAAAACGTTATTATAACAAACAATAAAAATGTATAATCAAAATATTGCTGATTTTAAAAACATAATCTAAACATGGTTGGTAGTTTAGTGAAAAGACATTATTATCAAGATTAAAATTAAGTTGTTCTTGGTATACTCTCTTTTGAACAATGTCATTATAGTTTAGTCTACAAATTATACTTTAACCTCTTTCTTCAGATGAGTAAATGTAACTTAATGTATCAAAGCTCGGTTTATTATTGTATAACCTACAACTACATGTTATTTGCTACCTCTTCTCGATGCTTGATATGATGTCTTAAAACTTCAATTCTTTTTTTTTTTTCTTTTTGCAAATAATGAACAATGCAGCAAAGTTTAGTTTGGTTTGGTTTCTCAAGATTTATTTATTTGAAAAGCAGAGTTACACACATGCACACACACAGAGAAGCTCTTCCACCTGCCATCCCACTCCCCAAACAGCCAGAGAGGGGCTAAGCTGGGCCTAAACCAGAAGCCAGGTCCTAAAGTCCTTTATAAAACATTTTATAAAGTTTTATTAAATTATTGTACGACTCCTCAGTGTTGTATTATAAATAAGCTGTTTTGATTATTATATCATTGTATGGATGTATCACAGTTTGTAATCCACTGGCCTGTTGTAGAACATCTGGTTTGTTTCCACTATTAAGAGTTATTACCAATAAAACTGCTATGAATATTTGTATAGACGACATACTCTTTCCTTTTTGGGGAAATACCCAGGTGTAGAATAGGGGAGACATGTAGCAGGTGCATGGTTGCATTTAAAGAAAGTATAGGAGTGCTTTCCAAGGGATTTGTGCCACTTTACATTCCTGTCAGCATTATATATGAGAGTGCCTGTGCCTCCACAGCCTTGCCAACATTCTCTATGATCACACTTTAACATTTCAGACGTGTAAATCAATAAGGGCTGGCTTGCCAGAGCAGTTTTAATTAGGATTTCCCTGAAACCGAGTGATGGTGTGTATCTTTGCTTATTCCCTACCTGTATGTCTTCTTTTTTGAAGAATATATTCTGGTCTTTTGTCTGTTTTTGAAAATTGGCTTACTTTCTATGACTAAGTTTGATATTTTTAAATTAATTTTTATTTATATAAAGGAATTTTAGGTACTTCACATATACAGTTTTAAGAACATAATGAGACTTCCCACCCTGCCTTCCTGCCTTCCTTTAATCTTGCCTTTCATCCTTTTTTGATTCTTGTTTGTCTTTTGATTGAAATATTTTCATTTCTTTTTATATTCCAGTTCCGAGTTGCTTATGAGATATGAGACCTGCAAATGCTTTCCCCTATTATTTGGCTTGTTTTTCTTTTTCTTTTTATGACTTATCATTTGCAGCCAGGGCCTCCTCCGGGTCTCCCACGTGGGTGCAGGGTCCCAAGGTTTTGGACTGTCCTTGACTGCTTTCCCAGGCCACAAGCATGGAGCTGGATGTGTGGCAGGGTCACCAGGATTAGAACCGGAGTCCATATGGGATCCCGGTGTGTGTAAGGCAAGGGTATTAGCTGCTAGGCTACTGTGCTGGACCCCATTTAATTTTCAATAGGAAACATCACTTTCTTATCTGAATGTCTTCTTTTTTTTTAAGATTTAATCTTTTATTTGAAAAGCAAATTTTTTACAGAGAGAGAAGGAAAGAGAAGAGATCTTCTCTCTGCTGGCTCACTCTCCAAATGGCTGCAACAGCCATAGCTAAGCCAATCCAAAACCAAGTTCTAGGAGCTTCTTGTACCTATGTGGAAGACCCATAAAGAAACTTGTGGTTGCTGCCTTTGGATCAGCTGAGCTCGTGCTGTTGCAAAGACCTAAGGACTTGGATTGTTCTCTGCTGCTTTTCTTGGCCACAAGCAGAGAGCTGTATTGGAAATGGAGCAGCTGGGATAGGAACCAGAATCCATACGGGATGCCAGCACTAGCAAGTGGGGGATCATCTTGCGTGCTGCTGTGAAGGTTCCTATTCTTTTCTTTAATTGTTTAGTGCATCGTTGAATAAATTTTTTAAAAGTAAACATTCTTATCTTGGCATTGATTCTTCTGAGGAACTTTACTCATGGACCCAGGATTTTTCATAGATGACCTAATTTGCGCTGAAGTTCTTTTTACTAGTTTGCTGAAATTTCTTATCAAGAATGGATTTTGGATTTCACTAATTTTTTTAACTACATATGAAGAGGTGATTTGTTTGCTTTATATTTACTTATTTAACTATGAGTTACACTGATTCATTTTTGATGTTAATCCTGGATGAAAATAAACCCCACTTGGTCTTGATGGATTTTGTTGTTGTTATTGTGGTCCTTATGTTGCTGGATTCCGTTTGTCATTTTCTTTTATATTTTTGTTAGAAAGGAACAGAGATGAAATCAGTTAGATGTCTCCCAGCCACTGGGACACTGGTCAGAGTAGCTGGGTTGGAGTCCCAGCCGTGCTTGAGTCCAGCCTGCTAGTGAGGCACACCCTGGGAAGCAAGGGACCATGACGTGAAGAATTGGGTTCCTGTGACCCAAGGTCCTGCCTGCACCTGCCACAACCCCAGCTGGTTGGGATGTTTGGGGAGTGAGCCAGTGGTTAAGAGATGTCTTAGCCCTGAAATTTTCCATTGTTTCCTGTTATGTATTGTTTTCTACTAATTTTAATTATTTCTGTTTTTCTGTTTGCCACTGGTTTAGTTGCTCTTTTTTTTTTTTTTTTTTGGTGCATGCAAACACACAACAGATGTATAGAGAGATAGAGTGTGTGAGTTTCAATCCTCCTCAAAAGCCTGCGGTAGCCGGGGTTGGGCCTTGCCTAATCTGGTAGACAAAACTCTACTGCAATCCAGGGTGTGCATTAGCAGGGAACTGCATTTGGAAATAGACCGAGGACTTGAACCTGGATGCCATGATGCAGGCCTCCCAAGTAGCATGTTTACTGCATCAATGCCCATCTCTAACTCTTCTTTTTCTCATTTCCAAGGTGGAGGCAATAGTCATTGATTTGAAATCATTCTTCCTTTCTAATGTAAACTTCAGTGATTATTTGAATAAACAGGCAAAATATCAGGAGAGTTGCAAATGTAGCAAGGAAGATGGTAATGAGACTATGGTTTTTGGTAATTGTTGGATATCATCACTAGTGACTTGATTATGCAAATGTGCAAGAATGAGAAGACTTGTGATTCCTAGGTTTGTGTCAATGGAGAGTGAATACTGTATTGTTTTTTTAAGGTTAAATTTTTTTCTTTTTCTTTTTCTTTTTTTTTCTTAAGTCAGATTTACAGAGAGAAGGAGATACAGAGAGACAGATCTTCCATCCACTGGTTCACTCCCCAAGTGGCCGCAATGGCCGGAGCTGAGCTGATCTGAAGCTAGGAACCAGGAGCTTCTGGGTCTCCCACATGGGTGCAGTGGCCATCCCCGACTGCTTTCCCAGGCCACAAACAGGAAGCTGGATGGGAAATGGAGCAGCTGGGATACAAACCGGTGCCCATACGGATTCCTGGCACATGCAAGGCGAGGACTTCGGCCACTAGGCTACCACGCTGGGCTCCAAATACTGTATTTTTTGAGTGAAATATAAAATATAAAAGAACAAAATTTAGTGAAGAAATATTTCTGTTCTAGACACTTTGCTTTTTCCTTTTACATTTTAATATCACATATCTTGGCAGCTACCTGGGCTGCTAAACTTTGGGAAGTGAAATTCTTTGGGGAATTTTTTAAAAAGATATACTTTTATTTGAAAAGCAGTATTACAGAGAGAAGGAAAGACAGAAAGATCTTCCCTCTGCTGGTTTTACTCACTGAGTGGCCTCACCAGCTGGAGCTGGACTGATCCAAAGCCAAGAGCCAGGAGTTTCTTCGAGGTCTCCCACATGAAAGCAGGGTCCCAAGGTTTTGGGTCATTCTTCACTGCCTTCCCAGGCCATAAGAGGAGAACTGGATGGGAAGTGGAGCCTCTGGGACACACTGGTGCGTATATGGGATTCTGGTGCCTGTATGGGATGCTGACACCTGTATGGGATGCTGTAGTTTGGCCTACTACATCATGGCACTTGCCACAGACTCATTGCTTTTTGAAGCGTCTGTTGGACCTTAATAAACCACCCTTAGGACGAAGGTAAACCTGAAAAATCATCAGTATAAAAGGAATATTTAAAACTATAGGAATAGATACCAAAGAGGGTGTATTATGTAAAAAGAGATCAGGGTGAAGACAGAATCTGAGAAACAGTTAAGATCTGAGATGAAATCTGTAAATGCTAACAAAAATGAATGTGCTGTTGCTGTCAGGATTGTTGAAGCAGCAGCCTAATGGTGTCCCAGAAGACCAGGTTTGGAGCAATGTAGTAATTAATTAATGGCATGCTATGACAGAACATTTAAATAGAAATGAAGAAAATTTGACATTGGCATTTAAGAAAGCAGTGATGAATTTCATCAGGGCAATTTTAGTGAGTGAATTCTTCAGGAGCAAATATAAGGAAGCAGTGACACTGGCCTTGTGGCATCCCATAGGGGTGCTAACTCAAGTCCAAGTCCTGGCTGCTTCACTTCCATTCCAGTTCCTGGTCTGGGAAAAACAATGGATGATTGCTCAAGTGCTTGGACCTCTGCCACCCATGTGGGAGGAGACCCACATGAAGTTCCTGACTTCACCCTGGCCCAGCCCTGGTCCTTGTGGCCCTTTGGATGATGAACCAGCAAATAGGCAATTTTTCTGCTTCTCCTTCTCTGTAACTCTGCCTTTCAAATAAATGATTTCTTTCTTTTTTTTTTTTTTGGAAAGCAGTGATTGATTAACAAATGAGAAAACCAAAAAGGGACAACCTGTGACCTGTTTCAAGAACAATTTCTACATAGAGTAAGGGATTTAACTATTGAATACCATATGACAAACAAAGTCAACACTAACTTTTCTTAGTAGAAGTGAAGAGTTGAAGCACATTTTCAATTGTGACATCTTCAAAAGAAATCTTAGAATTGTGTATTTTCACTTGAAATTTTATAGATAGCCTGGTTAAATTTTTTTTCTTTTTTGACTTCATTTTTACTATAGTACTAAAAATTAAGTGCTCCAACATGCTTTTTGTTATTGTTGTTCCAGGAAAGACTCTGCTTGCCTCATCATATTTTGGAAGAACGAGGTCTGGTGAAAGTTGGTGTCACAGTTCAGGCACTCCTGGAATTACCTACAATCAAGGCATCCCAGCTTTCTATGGCTTGACACAACATTTTCCAATCTTATTAAGTGTTTAATTTATTTGGAGTATTTTCAGATATCTCAAATTAATGAATAAGAGTGTCACATCAAAAATAGTTTACCTTAGGTCAAACCTTAGGGTTTTAAAAAGTTATATTAAAGCATCAAATTTGAACTTTGAGTGGCCCAAATGTATTTTGGGAGAAAACTGGATTAATTTAATAAGTTTGTGATAAATTCAAATTTTCGTTTGCTAAGTTAGTTGATAGCCTTGCGGTTTTTTTTCAGAAAGCCAACTGATAATAAATTGAAAATGTACTTTCAATTTAGTAACCACATTAGATTTCATTTTTTTTACATCAAAACATTCTAATAAATATCTGGGTATAAGCCTTTTTAAAAACAGTTTAAAACTATTCCATGTTTGAATTATTTAATATACTTCCAATTCTGGTTTATACACAGCTTTTGTTTCCAAATCTTTGGTCTTAGTTTTCTAGAAGAACTAGTAGGAAAAAAACAACTCTGGCTTTATATTAAATTCTTTTAGTATTATAGGTTGGTGCCAAAATATTTTAAGTTGTACTGTAGATTGTTTACATGTGAAGTGCCTGTGTAATTGATGACTCTTATATAGTCTTAAGCAATTTTGCCATTTCTTTTTATGTATTAATAGATTCAATGGAACCTAAAATATTTTAGTAGGTTTTTAAGGTCAGTAATATGTGAGGATTTAAACATTCCCTCAATTTGATATTTGTGATTTTTTTAGTTAATCCCTTGCGATTTTCCACAAATTGGTTATTTCATGTTGCTAAAAAAGCATTGTTAATATGCTTAATTTATGCTATTTAATTTTCTAAAAGTCAATCATCTTTTAAAATGTATTATTTGAGGAATATTTTATTTTTGTGTTGAAAACGTTACACAAAACAGTAATGTTTTTGAGTACTAGGAAGTACCTATTATCAAGGACATTTTGATACAACTGCCAAAGTTTGGGTTTGTATATTAATTTTTAGGAACATTATGTTAGTGCTGCCTTTAGTTATATTCAGAAATTAGCAAATGAGAATAGTTTAATTGAAGTCTGGCTGTTTGAGGATCCTAAACACCTTACAATCTTCAATTAATTTGGTGTTGAATTAAATAGACCATTCCATAAATATTTTCATAATGCACTGTGTTACATAAAGTCCTTGTTTAATTTAGAGAAGGATAATTATGTTGGTAATAGTGCAGGAGTTTTTCAAAACCATTACTGTAACAACACAATTCTTACAGGAGAATCTTAATAATTCCTTTTATAGTAGCCAAGCAAATAGCGTATCTTAAATATGTGATCATTTGCACTTGTTACCTCATAATATGGATGCAACTTATTAAAATGTGTTGGCCTGGGTATTTCAAAGGTTATATGTAAAAGGTAAAAACTAGTGTGCCAAATGGTATATAGTAATAATTGCTTTAGGAACAACTCTGTGTTTTTGATCAATTGGCATGAAGCCATATAATTATATTTTGGCTTTGGAACACAAATGTGTTCTTTACATTCTCCAAGAGTGAAATTGGAGCTTGTAAAGAATTAAATTTTCTTATGAGTATGAAGTTTAAGAATTAAACTATTAGTAATTTATTGCTTTAAGTATTTGAGCTAATTAGTTATTTTTCCATTGGATCTAAGCACACACGCGCGCGCGCACACACACACATATCTCAGTAACATACTCTTACTAATGAAAACTTGGAAAATAATTAAGAAGTGGCAAATATCTTAGTTAATGAGATTTGATGAAAAATTTGACACTGTTACACATTTAGTGAACATTAAAGCTGCAGCATTCATACTTTTCATAGTTATCATTATAGAATTTCTTATTAATCAATATGATGTTAATTCTTTTATAAGTATTTTCCCGTTGTGTATCATTGAAATAGTAGTGTAATTATAGACCATTTCCTTGCTGCATTTCACTTGTTATTTATTACTTTGAAAAGAAAATGCACTAGAATCTCAGTGTAACATTTTTTATTGCAAAGCAAAGTTCCATTTAAAATGGGTCCGTCTGAGTTGATGTTCATCTTTTGTTGTGCCAAAAGGCAATACCACCTCTAAAGCAGTTTTATAGCACAGTCTCTGAGGACAATATCATACAAAGGCTCTGATGTATTTCTTTTAGTAGTTTATAAGTGTAAAATTTATTCTAAATGTGTTTTTGGTTATGATATATTCATCAGTTATTGCATTAAGAAATATTATTCAAATGGGTTTGTCAATTGATGAGGGCTAAATAATCAAGCTAAAATATTTTATCAGGCCCTAAAGATTCAAAAAGTAACTTTTTGTTAGATCATATCACTCTATGGCACAAGGAACAAATGATGTTGGATATGTTAGAATTGAAATGTGTAAAAATGCATTACTGTTTGTTTAATAATTATCTTTATAGAATGCTAGTTTAATGAATTTTCTAAATGAATTTTTGAAGAATCCCGAAATGTTTGTATTGGTCACAGATCTATCATAATGGATTTTCTGATGCATTTAAAAATAAATGGAACACTAAATGTATTATTACCGATGCAAACTATGGATAAAGTTGAATGAAAAAAATTAAGTCTGAGATATCTTTTCTCCTGTTCTACCTCCTTTCTTGCCATCATGGCATCCATTTTTAGTCAGTTTTTGATAGTTTGTGTCTGTGTTCTGTAGCGTAGAAAACTAGACTTTGATCTTCTTACACCGTATTATTTTTAGTAAATAATTTTTCTGTGAAAAAAAATTTGCTAGGATATCCTCACAATATATTGTTATAATGTTATAAAACTGTTTGCATAACCATAACACTAATGTAGGAGAAAACTTTACATAAAATAAAAGGTAAAGAAAACAAATCATGATTTTTTATTGTAAATGTTAATACTAGATATGATTGTATTGTCCTTAGAATATTTATGTTCAAGTCGGTCTACTTTAAAAATTCACATATTTTAAGTAACTTGTTTATAACTTTGATGTATCCTAAAAGCAGAGGGACATTCATGTGTATGTTATTAAAGATAATAATTCTGTTTTAGAGTTATTCAACCTAAACCCTGAAATTGAGAAAGGTATGTAAGTAAATATTTGGTGTACATTGCTTTAAAACTATTTTAAATTTGGCATGCAAATTTGGTATTTAAAATAATGGAACTAAGCTTGTTCTCTGCTTTAAAAAATGTACGTTTTTTTATATTCTACATAAAATTGCTCTTTAGAATCTTTGCAACCTGTTCCATCATCCATATAACTGAAAGAGAATGACAATGTTCATTAGATTCATTTTGAAATGCCTAGACATATTCTTGACTTGACAAATTTGAAAATATGAAAACCCATCTGCTCTTCAAGGTGTTGCCTTTTCTCTTCCTATATTTGAAAAATCAAAAGAAAGTTCTATACTTGTAGTATTACACAGCTCAGAATTTCTAGGAGTGTGAGTCTGTGTGTGTTTGTGTATGTGTGTGTGCGTGTGAGTGCATGTGTGTGAATCTAATGCAGGGTTTCAGCTCTTTAAAGAAAAGTATACTGTACATTGGAAAATGATAATCTAGACTTTATCAGAATTATAAATTTAGCTTGGAATGAGAAATTGCTGACTTGACTGAATCATTTGAATATTACCAAATAAGAGTATCCTTAGATGTGTGATCATTTAAAAACTTTGAATTGTTATATAATATGTTATTGGTTTCTCAAATACCTAATTTGGATTATCTTGTCATTTAATGTTAGTGACAGATGAATTTATTTGTATTTCATTAATATGTGTCAATTATCTGCCTTAAGTAGGTGAGAAATATTTTGTATGTGCATATATAAATATGTAAATAGAAATACTGCTTTTCAATAGCAAATTGAATTTTCTAAATCTTAGTTTGGATAGCTCAGTTATTCCTAGTGCAAAATCACAAAGTATTTATGAAGTAGTACTAAAAATGATTCCTTAGTGCATTGATTCTTCAGTTTTAACGTTCAAGTGGATCATATGTGCATACTATTAACCAAATACAGTTGATTCAGTAGGTTAACAGTAAAGGTGATCCATTGACCAACTTGAGTAATAAGGTCTTATACTCATTCCAGCCTCATGAATAAGTCAATTCACTGCACACTTCTCAAAGTAGCATGGTTTTTTAACTGATGTTTCTTAGATTTTACCAAAGATACTTAAAATATTATAATTTCTCTCTATCCTGAAATGTACTCTACTTTATTAAACACCTTGGGATATTCTTTAAGACTTTAAAAATTGTATTTTATGTTGCAATTATTACTATTATTTTTGTTTACTTTAAAAATATTTTAAGTACACTTCATCACAGTTTTCAAAATGACACACCACATGAATCCTATGTGATTATAAAATGGTTATTTATATATGCAAACAAGTTGATATGTTAATTTGCAAATATTAAGACATAACACCTTTTTCTTTTAGAAGGCTGGAAAATGACATTAATCTTTTGTGGTCTTTATATCAGTTCATTTATGTGAGGTATACTTCCCCCTTTGATATTGAAAATGTCATTGTTCAGATTATTATCATAAATATAAACATGGGACTTATACAAATATATATCTAATTCTAAATATTTATAATCTGTGATTTCAGAGCTCAGAGTCTGAAATTGTTTCATCCTTACCAAATGAGTGAGAAAGTATTGGTTTTACTTTATTCCTTCGTTTGTGAACTATATTTTGATGTAAAATATTTGGAGTTGCTCTGCTTCTTTTAATGCCTTAGAAAGATACTTCAAAATTCCTTAAAGAACAAATTAAAATCCTAGTGATTCAAAATATCAAGGGCAGTCAAATGTCTTCTGTGGTAACAATGACTCATTTATGCCAATGAGGAAACAGAAAGATTAATAATTAAATATAGAAAAATTAAAACAGGGACATGTAAAGTACTAATATTTTCATTATAATAAGTAATACTTTATCTTTGTCTGTCTCATAATGCTTAATAACCAATATTAGCAATTGAGTATCATAAGTAAAATTGTGAAATCTCATCACCTATTTAAAAACTGAGTGTTTTGTAGTTGTGTGCCACCAGATTTTCTATTTTTCTATGCATAAGATAATAATGCATGCTGTACTTCTGCACATAGTTCATAGGCAAATTTAACAGAGATATTTTTAGAGTTTGATCAATACTTTTGTTTGATTTTTCACCCCAGGAAGCTAAGGCATAGAATCTGATTTTAACAAGTATTTAAGCACTAAATTTAATAAGCACCCCTTCAATGCATTTGTTTAATTTACTAAAACTCACTTTGGTGTATAGTTTTTTAATTATTATTACTTCAATCTAAAACTTTCATGTGTGATAATTTGTTCACAAAATGGTGGTATAATTGTACTCTGAAGAAATACATTAATTTGAAATGGAATTTTGTTTACTTATGACATGCTAGGAATTGGTTATATAGGTTATAAGGGTGCAGAGATGAATAAAATGTGGTCTTTTTGTTGAGAACTTTACAAATTAATTCAATTCTTGGTTTCTAGTTATAGTATTAAAAATATATGTAATTAACATTTATAAATTTAATTTTTTACTATAGAAACATATCATTTTAAAAATTCTCTCTTTTTTGTATGTTTGCTTTATTTGGTAGACAGAAAGACTGAAAGAGACCATCCATCCTGTTTCATTCCCCTAATGCCTACCTCTAGGGCTGGGCAAGTCTGATGCTGGGAGCTGGGAACTCGATCCGGGTCACACACAAGCAGCAGGGCCAGGTCACCTAAGAGATCACCTATTGACTCATAAGGTAACCATTATCAGGAAATTGGAGTTGGGAGAGGAACCAAGATTTGACTCAGGTACTACAATATAGGATGCAGGCATCCCAAGGAGTGTCTTATCACTATACCAATGCTCACTTTACACTAACAATTTTTCTTAAGTTTACTTCTCAGAACTAAATTTTATAATTGATTATTCACCGCTGCTAGATAGGTCTAACTTTGGTTGTTTTGAAAAACAATCCTGTTTGTTGTTTTCTTCTGACTTTTCCCCAATTTTATTAAGGTATAATTGAGAAAAATTATGTTTATATAAGTTGTAAAATATAATGTTTTGATATATGTCTATCTTGTGAAATAACTTAAAGTTTACAACCTTTGACCAACATTTTCTTATTTCTCCCACCTTCATTTCCTGGCAACAACTGTTAGTCCATTCAATCTTTTACAGTATTTCAAAGTTGCCAGTTTTTAAATAAAAATCTGGTTTTCCCATTTCTGGAGACTGGGATGTCCAAGAGAGAGAGAGACAAAGAGAACATATTCCACCTGCTGTTTCACTCCCCAAATGACCACAATGGCAGGGGCTGGCCCAAGCTGAAGCTGATAGCCTGGAATTCCATCTGGGCCTCCCATATAGGTGGCAGGGACACAAGTTCTCAGGTCATCTTGCACTGCCTTTTGGGAGCATAAACAGGGAGCTGGATTTGAAGTGGAGTAGTCAGTGTTCTGATATGAACACTTCAGGTGGTGGCTTCTTATTTTGCGTTACAAAATTTTCCCTGAGCCTCTTTTATAAGGAAACTCACTCTGTTTCTGCTGGCTTCATTATCGTAAGCCAGTCACTGCTTGAAAATCCCATGTTTTTAAAGCTATCACATTATGGATTAGGCTTCAC